TAGCTCCGGGGGTAGGGAGGCAGGGGGAGGTGGGCACCGGCCTGAGGCTCCGTTCCCTTGTGTGATTCAGGCATCAATATCTACCAGCCGGCGCCCCCTACGGGTCCCACCCGGAAACCCCTGACGGAGCTGGGTAAGCATTGGGGAGCTCTGCCAGGGAGGACGGCGCCCCTCAAGGAGCGATGTCTCACTAACCCTTCCGTCCTCCCCACTGGCCAGGTAACTTCCGCGGATGGTACATCACTACTGAGAACCTCCAGGGGCCCCTCAGGTGAGCCGCCACAGGGCCTGGCGGTGGGGGTGGAACTAGGTGCCTTTGCCGTGGCTCCTGCAGAGGGACCGCTCTTTCTTGCTCTGGTGACAGGGTTAGTCATAACAGAATGCCTATGAAACATGCGACACAGGCACCCAAGAAGTCTGGCCAGCGCTCAGTAGGTGTTTGATAAACCTCACTCTCATCCGGAGACAGTCACCAGGGAGTCCTCTATTAACCCCAGTGCGGCTCCTGAAAGGTGGATGAGAGGGTGTGTGTAATTCAGGGCTCAGAATCAAATCCCATTTTTTAAAAATTTATTTTCCTTTTCTGTTTTTTCTTTACTGATTAAACTTAAACTAAACAAATCTCTAGGACTGAGTTTAAACTCCAGCCCCTCAGTGGAGGATTCCAGGCAGAGGCTCTACCACTGAGCCAAACCCCAGCCCTCACTGGGGAATTCTAGGCAGGGGCTCTACCACTGAGCCACACCCCAGCCCCTCACTGGGGGATTCTAGGCAGGGGCTCTACCACTGAGCCAAACCCCAGCCCCTCACTGGGGGATTCTAGGCAGGGGCTCTACCACTGAGCCACATGCCCAGCCCCTCACTAGGGGATTCTAGGCAGAGGCTCTACTATAAGTCACACCCCTAGTCCTCTCTTTACTCCCCCCCCTCTTTTTACTTTTTATTTAGAGATAGGCTCTCACTAATTTGCCCAGGTAGGTCTCAAACTTCTAGTTCTCCAAGTCAGCCAATAGAGTAGCTGAGATTCCAGGCCTGGCTCAAATCTTAAGCGTCAGTTTTCATCTGGAACAGAGGCTCCTGTCCCTTGCCCTCCAGAGTCTCCTAGGACCCAAGGACCTTGAGACTGTCACGTGTGTGGTGGGAGGAGGGTCTCCCTGTGACCATACTTCCTCCTCCTCGGGAGGCCTCAGGACTGTGGGACTGCCAGACCCATTTCCTCTTGTTCCTCTGCAGCTGGACCGTGAAGGAGCAGTGTGTGAACCTGCTGGCCAAGAAGCTTTGGGAAGAACTTCTGGACGACGAGCAGCCTGACATCACCGTCATGGACTGGTGTGCCCCGCCCCGCCGACTTCGTGCCCCGCCCCGCCGACTTGGTGCCCCGCCCCGCAGACTTCGTGCCCCGCCCCGCAGACTTCGTGCCCCGCCCCGCCGATCAGGGCCGTTCAGGCTTCCCTGTCGCCCAGGGCCTGAACCTCTCCACACCCCTTGACACTGCGCCCCGCCCCGCCTCCCGTCCTGCCTCCTCTGGCCCTCTGACACAACCTGGTATCTTTCAGGTGTCAACTGGGTGGGGTCCCTCTGGCTCAGGCTGTTCCTTTATCTCCCGAAGCCTTTGCCCCTCTGTGATCCCCAGATTCATGCTCCTCTTGCGAAGGGGTAGTTTCACACCGCTCCCCTGGATGCCTACCCCAGCTACAGGAAGGGGCCATAAACCCCAACGCCTGCATTCCCACCCTACCCACCCCTCTCTCTGCTCCCCCTGCCTGCACCGCATCTCACCCTGGTGTCTGCCTGTTCCTCCCATCTACATACGGAGCAGTCTCTGTTGGTGACATGTCTGCTCCACCACGGGGCCGGGCATGGGGCTGGAGAGTTGTGTGATGGGGCCCGGGCCGGGGGCTTGGGGCTGAGATGGCGTGACAGCTGCGTGAAAGCCTGCCCCTCTCCAGGTTCGAGGACAGCCGCCTGGACCAGTGTGTTTACGAGTTGCACGTGTGGCTGCTAGCAGCTGACCGCCGCACTGTCATCGCCCAGCACCATGTGGCCCCGCGGACCAGTGGGAGAGGTCCGCCCGGCCGCTGGATTCAGGTGAGCCGCCCTGCCGGGCCCTGCCCACACCGGTGTTCTTTCCCAGGGCCTTGGGCAGGCGCAGGAGGGACCCCGGCTGCCACGGACGGCCTGCTGAGGCTTCCTTCCTAACCCTGGGCTGCCACAGGTGTCCCACGTCTTCCGGCAGTACGGACCCGGAGTGCGCTACGTCCACTTCCAGCACAAGGCCAAGAACCGCATGGAGGCTGGCGGGCTGCGCAGGACGAGGGTGACCGACTCCTCCGTGTCTGTGCAGCTCCGGGAGTGACCACCGGCCAGCTCCCCAAGTCTGCCCGGGCCCTTCGGAAGGGTGTTTGTCCCCTCTGAGCCCTTCCATGATGCTGCTGCTTCCAGCTTCCCCTATGTGTGCTTAGCCAGGGTCTGACCCCTGCTGACCCCTGACCCCTCCCTACCCCTGACCCCTGCTCACCCCTGACTTCTCCTTACCCCCTGCTGACCCCTGACCCCTCTCTACCCCTGACCCCTACTGACCCCTCCCTAACCCCCGACCCCTGCTGACCCCTCCCTACCCCCCACCCCTGCTCACCCCTGACCCCTCCCTACCCCCGACCCCTGCTCACCCCTGACCTCTCCTTACCCCCTGCTCACCCTGACTCCTCCTTACCCCCTGACCCCCTGCTGACCCCTGACCCCTCTCTACCCCCTGCTGACCCCTGACCCCTCTCTACCCCTGACCCCCTGCTCACCCCTGACCCCTCCCTACCCCCTGACCCCTGCTCACCCCTCCCTACCCCCCTGACCCCTGCTCAACCCTGACCCCTGCTGACCCCCTGACCCCTGCTCACCCCTGACCCCTCCTCCTCCCTCAACCCTCTCCTCATTCTCTGGCCCTTCCCCCCACTCCATGGCCCCTCCACGCCCCTCCTCCTCCCTCAGCCCCTCTCGCCTTCTCATCCTTCATACCCTTCCTCCCTCCCTGGCCCTCAGCCCCGGCTCCTCCCCCTGGCCCCGCCTTGCTCCCTTCCCTCCTCAGCTCCTCTCTAACAGTTTCTCCCCACCCGGTCTCCTGGGGTCTTCTTTGCAGCTCCCTGAATGTGACTCTGAGCTGGGGCCGCCCCTTGCGAACCGCCGCTGGTCTCACAGTAGGTGTTCAATAAACCTTCCTAGAGGGACCGTCAGAACACACGTGTGCTGGGAGAGGCTGAGCGTCTGCCTGGTCTCGCTGCAGAGGCTGAGCGTCCCCCTGGTCTCGATCCCTAGAGCCTCCCCCAGTCCTCGGCTCCCGCTCACAAAGCCTTGACTGCTGGTAATTCTGTGACCTCCAGGTGTCCACATTGACAGTGAACTCTCACCTCTTTTCCCAGTGCTTGGAATCGACCTTGGGTTTTTTTGTGTATTCTGGGTAGGTTCTCTGAAAACACTGAAATATGTCCCCCAGAGCTCTTTTTATTTACTGAAATCCTGAGACAGGGTCTAGCTAAGTGGCCCACACTCGGTTCAGTTTTCAATCCTCTGCCTCAACCTTTCGAGTAACTGCGGTTACAGGTCTGCACCATGGGGCCCCGCCTGACCCCTATTTGTTCCTTCTGCCCTGTGGGTCTTGGGAATCGAACTCAGGCATCAAGATTGATAGCGAGCCCTTCACCCTCTGATCCATCTCAGAGTCCGTCTTTTTATATCCCCCAGTGTGTGTCCTGAGGATTCCTATTTACCCATTCTCCCTCAGCCCTTAACTCCTAGACTCTTCCCAAACCGCAGGCCTGCCTCCAACTGACCCCGGATTTCATTCCTGCAGAGCTGTTCCCTTATCTCTGCCCAGGACACTGTGTCTTCCCCATCCCTAGAGTCACCCAAACCAGACAGCCAATAAGAGCCCTGATGCCTGGGGCAAAGGTGAAGCAGAGATCGCAACCTGAACAGAAGCATAAATTCGAACTAAAGTGTCTTCCATGTGTCAGACAGGGATCACTGAATGTCATTAACAACCCAGAGTCACCTGTAATCCCAGCTACTAAGGAAGCTGGGTCTCAAATTAAAAGGTAGCCTGGGCAATTTAATGAGACCCTGTCCCCACATGAAAAGTAGAGAGAGGGCTGGGGGTGTGGCTCAGTGATAGAGCCCCTGCCTAGAATCCCCTAGTGAGGAGCTGGGGGTGTGGCTCAGTGGTGGAGCCCCTGCCTAGAATCCTCCAGTGAGGGGCTGGGGGTGTGGCTCAGTGGTGGAGCCCCTGCCTAGAATCCCCCAGTGAGGGGCTGGGGGTGTGGCTCAGTGGTGGAGCCCCTGCCTAGAATCCCCCAGTGAGGGGTTGGGGTTGGGGTGTGGCTTAGTGGGAGAGCCCCTGCCTAGAATCCCCCAGTGAGGGGTTGGGGTTGGGGTGTGGCTCAGTGGGAGAGCCCCTGCCTAGAATCCCCCAGTGAGGGGCTGGGGTATGGATCAGTGGTAGAGTCCCTGCCTAGAATTCCCCAGTGTGGAGCTGGGGGTGTGACTCAGTGATAGAGCCCCTGCCTAGAATCCCCCAGTGAGGGGCTGGGGGTGTGGCTCAGTGGTAGAGCCCCTGCTAGTATGTGCGAAGTCCTGGGTTCCATCTACAACATCTAAATAAATACAGACAAGACAACAGTAACAACAGCAGCAGAAATCAAAGACTACCACATCACCCAACACACAAGGCTCTAGCCTGGCGCAAGGTTCCAGAATGACCCCTGATGTTCTAGGCATGAATGGTGAGGGTTTGTGAGTTCCCTGGAAAGCTGAGGGATGTGTACCCGAAGTAAACAAGGAACGTTTAAACACTTAGACAGTAGCAAGCATTGCCCTCCGTTGCCCCCTAGGATCCAAGGCTGTGTCTCCAGCCTGGACTGACCCGGATCTGATCATTCCGCTCCCCCTCCCCGTTCTATGCAGTCCCGGGTGCATTTGGGTCTCAAACACAAGCAGACAGCACACAGGGGTAACTTCTCAAGGGCTGTATTACAGGGCGGCTGCGATGGCGGGCAGCAGGGCCATCTGACTCCTGGCTCTTGGGGCCGCTGCAATCCCCAGGGTCAGGTGGGGTTGGGCTCAGCACTGTGTGGCGTTGGAGATGACAGGCCCTCAAGGCATCAACTGCACCTGTAACAGAAACAGGAGTTCTCAGCGCGGGTGCCAGGGCACGGAACGACCTGTCTGAGGCAGGACGCCAAGGCTCCAGGCTCAGGAGGGTTTGGGGTTGGCGATTTTTCAGGGGTTCCGAGGGGCTGATTCAGGATGATTCTACACTGGGATACAGGGTACCTGGGGTCTGTGGGATTTGGGGGATGACTGCTGGATTTGGGGACCCTCAGGATTGGCGCTGGGAGGTCCAGGGATGATTCTGGGTTTCAGGCTGATCTAGATGGGGGAGGGGTTCAGGGCCGGAAATCTAGACTAGACCAAATGTTCGAGACTTGGGCCTGGGGTCTTGAGGCCTGAGAGGAGTCTTGAGTATAAGAGTTAGGTTCAAACGCAGCAAGGGGGCAGTGACTTCATGTCTAGCACCCCAAAGGGACCAATGAAGTGGGGAGGGGTCTTCTAGAACCTCGGAGGCACATAGGGAATGGAGCGCAGCTTCCTGGTCTGGGGAGCCCAGGGTGTGTCTGAGAGACTTGGGGGGCTGAGGGCCATAAGGTGGAGGATAAGAGGCCCAATCTAGGGGTGCCCCGGGAGATGAGGCCCCCAGAAACAGTTGCTAGAGGAAATCTACTTTTCCTAGTATGAGTTGGGGAGCGAGCGGGGTGTCTGTGGATTCTTGGACTTGGGGTGGGTGGGGTAAGGAGTTCAGAATGTTAGGGTCACAGGACTCACTTGCAGTAGAGGCCAGAGATGGCGTTGGACCAGTCTCCGAAGATGCCTCTGCGGTACTCTTCCAGGCGCGGGTAGCTGCCTGCCGAGAACTTACGACTCTTGCCTTTCTTGCCGGGGAGAGACCACACGGTGAGCTCGCAGCGCTGGGCCACTACCAGAGACGAAGCCGTGTTGGCCCAGTCCGAGGGCAGGTAGGGCAGGTCGCTGCCCGGCTCCAAGGACAGCTGGGCTCCCTGGCAGCAATTGTCATAGTAGGGATCACTCTTGTCGTAGAGCCTGGCGCATGTGCGCGTCCCGTCTTCCCTCTTCAGGTCTGCAGGCACCGGACAGGTGCCGCGGGCACCGGGGACGGCCACCAGAGCCAGGGCCAGCAGCAGCAGGCACAGAGGGGCCATGGTGACAGTGCGCCACGAGAGATCGCTGGTGCATTTATGCGTCCGACCCATGGGAAGAGAGAAGCTGCAAGATAAAGACTGGGAAGGAAGAGGACACGCCCTCTGCCTCAGGAGCCAGAGACCTCGATGGTCAGCGTGGAAAACCCCACACCCTGAGTGATAAATACGCGGTGGAAGTAAGATCCTAACACCTTGGAGCCTGAGTGTTCAAACACCGTTGTGAAGACAGTCAAGGGGCTGGAGGTGCGGCTCCGAGTGCTCGCCTAGTACCCAGGAAGCCTTGGGTTTGATCCTTGTGACTGTTTACAGCGCTGCTGCAGTGGTGCAGGTGCTAGGGAGGTAGAGGCAGGGGAGCATCCTTGGCTACAAAGCAAACTGGAGGCTACCCTGGGATGTATTCCAGACCCTGGGTGAGCGGGAGATAGACCATAGATAGATGGGTGGGTGGGTGGATGGATGGATGATAGATACATAGATAGACACGTAGAGAGATAGGAAAGGAGATGACTCAGAGGTTCAGATCCTTGGAGAGGACCCTGATCCAGGGGTTCATCACTTCTGGTCCCCATGGGCACCTCGCAATCACACACACATTCTCCCACAGAGATACATATGCATACAAGCAGAGATACATATGCATACATGTAACAGATTTTTAAAAAGATTTATTTATTATGTATACAGTGTTTTGCCTGCATGTATGTCCACGGGCCAGAAGAGGGCGCCAGATCTCATTACAGACAGTTGTGAGCCACCATGTGGTTGCTGGGAATTGAACTCAGGACCTCTGGAAGAGCAGTCAGTGCTCTTAACCTCTGAACCATCTCTCCAGCCCAAATCGGATCTTTTTCTTTTTTTAATGGGAAATGTGAGGGCTGGAGAGATGGCTCAGCAGGGAAACCTGACTTCGGAGTCCCCAGCACCCATGAAAAAAGTCTAATGGCCCTGTGCTCCTGTAACCCTCGCACGGCAGCGGACAGAGGCAGGAGGATGGCTGGGGATTGCCAGCCGGCACCCTGGCTCCAGGTTCAGTGGGACACCCTGTTTTCAGACAGAGCAGGGATCATCCGTGGCCTCTGGTCTCTGTCTACACGTGCACACCAATGCATACACCCCACACGTGTGTGCACATACCACACACACACACACACACACACAGTCACAAAAGAGGAAAAAGGGAAAAGCGGCTGAAAACGGTGGTGCAGACCTCTAAATTCCAGCACCAAGGAAACTGAGGGACGAGGAGTGAGAACTCTGAGCTAGCCTGGGCTACAGATTAGGGCTGTCTGAGAAAACCCAAGGGGCTGGGCATGTTAATTAAGTGAATAATTTGGCTAATGAAAAAAGGGTTCCCTCCCTCATGCCGGAATTGTTGAACTGGATAGACGCGTTCTCGTAACCAGAGGTGGGTTTCCACCCTCTGGTCGTAGCTAGCATACAAGGAGAAATGAGCCCCTCTTCCCTCACCCCTACCCCCGCACTAAAGCACAGGCCCGGAGGGGAAGGTGAGCACAGGGGCCTCCCACCCTCACCCTGTATCTCAAGAACTGGAGATACGCTTGTGTGTGGTTCTGGGTATGGAGCCCATGGCCTCAGGCGAGCTACACTCCAGCCATGCCAGGGAGTTTCCCTTCCTCCTCCCCCTCCTCCTCTCCATCCTCCTCCCCCTCCTCCTCTCCCTCCTCCTCTCCCTCCTCCTCTCCCTCCTCCTCTTTTAGTTTTCTGAGGTAGGATCTCAATACATAGCTGACCTTAAACATGCAGCCATCCCCCTGCCTCCGCCGCACCACACAGCCTGCTCACCTGTGAAATTGGCAGTATTGTCTTTCTACCCTGTCAGATTGTAAAGATGACAACAGGGGAGTGACAGCGAGTGTGTCTTAGTGCCTGACATGGAAGTCAATGATGGAGACTGAACCTAGCCCGGGCGGGGAGCTCATCTGTAGTACCACCAAGTATGAAAAGAAAACCTGGGGTCTGGGAAGGCGGTTCTGACTGCTTGTACATAAACACGAGGACCTGGGTTCAGATCCCAGCACCGATGTGAAAAGCCAGGTGTGAAAGCATGGCTGTGCGAGCCTGTACCGGGCAAGCATACAAGCAGAGCCCAGGGCTCTCCAGTGGGCACGCAAGCTGACCTGGTGACCTTCAGGTGCCGGAAAGATCCTCTCTCAAAAGTAAGTGGGCAGGGGCTGGAAGGAGGTCTCAGGGTTAAGAGCACTGCCGGAGGACCTGGGTTCCATTCCCAGTACCCACATGGTGGCTTCCAGCTGCCTGTAACTCCAGTTCCATCAGATCCAACACCCTTTTCCAGTTTTCATGGGCACTGGATATGCATGTGGTGCACTCATACACATAGAGCAAAATGATTTCAGTTTTTTAAAACTACAATATAAGTGGAGAGCCGGAGAGTTGGCTCAGTGGTTAAGAGCACTCACTGTTCTTCCAGAGGACCTGGGTTCAATTCCCAGCCACCTGTTGCTCCATACCTACAGACAAAAGATGAATGCCCATGAAATAAAAAAATTAACAAAAAGAAATCAAGGTGGTGGTGCACACCTTTAATCCCAGCACTCGGCAGGACGAGGCAGGTATCTGAGTTCGAGGCCAGCCTAGTCTATAGAGAGAGTTCCAGGGCAGCCAGGACTGCACAGGGAAACCCTGTCTCAAATAAATAAATGCATAAACAGCATTTTTATGAGAAGGGCCCCCGGTGCTGCTGAATGTCAAGCTCTGATCTTTACACGCCCACAAGCACATGTGCAAACACATGAACGCTCACATACTATAAATATCCACAAGCGCACACACAAAACAGGGAGTACCGAGGCTGCCAAGAAGGTTCACCGGGCGAAGGGGTGACAGCCCCAGTTCAGTGCCTGTGACCCACACAGAAGCCAAGGAAGAGTACCGACTCCACGGCAGTCTCCTGTGACCTCTGCAGCCTGACCATCATGCACGGGGTAATAACAAATAAAGCTTATAAAACGTAGTAGAATTGCCCAGGGATCCAGATCGCCTGGGTCTGGACCCCAGCTCCTCTATGACCCTGAACCTCACAGGGATGGGACCTATTTCAGATTCAAGTGCAAGGAGTAAGCGGGTAGGTCCCGTGAGAGCACCAGGAGGCCGGCTTCTTCATTCTCCTGTGCCCGCCCCCCAGTACTGAGATTACAGGCACGCACCACCACAGCCCCAGCCTCAGGCTCGCAAGGCAAGTGCTTTACCCCCTGAGCTATCTCTGCAGCCTGGAGCGTAAACTCTGCCAAGTGCTTGCTGAGTGCCTTGGGACAGGTGTACTTATCTCTCTGAGCTTTGGTTGATTCTGCCCTCAGTAGGATCATAGATGATAACACTGATCAACAAGGCCATTTATAATGAGTCCAAACCACCACACACCACCCACGTCATTGTTATTTGTAAATGCATGTGAATACCTCGTAGAAAATATCAGGCAAGTGTGAAATCGTATGTGTAAATGTGCAGAGCCTGCGACCTGCTGGGTCAGATGCAGGGTCACCCCTATTCTTAGCACAACCCTGAGACCCTCACCTGCCCCAGGCCAGACCCAGCTCTTTGTCCCTCTTTCCATTCTCATGATTCACGCAATCTAATCTCCAGCTGCTAACTTCCCAGGAACCTTTCGGGCCTCAGGGTCATAGAGGCCCAACTCTTGGTCCACAGGCGTGGAGCCATAGATACCAGAGTGTGGTGCAGTCACCTACAGCTGCGTACACCCAGGAGGGTCCCAGGAAAGGGACCACAGCATGTCTCACACCACACACCACCATCATAGGGACTACAGAACAGGCCATGGCACAGCTACCCCACCCAACACACATGTAGGAAGAGGAACTGATGTTGGCCATCTAGTCTCTGGTGTTTTTACTAGCCTTTGTTTTTGTGATATGTGGAGTCACAGATAGTTAAGCAGATACTCTATCACTGAGCCACACCCCCAGCCCCTTGCAGGGGCTCTACCACCGAGTCATACCCTCAGCTCCTCACTGGGGGATTCTAGGCAAGGGCTCTACCACTGAGCCACGCCCCCAGCTCCTCACTGGGGGATTCTAGGCAAGGGCTCTACCACTGAGCCACGCCCCCAGCCCCTCACTGGGGAATTCTAGGCAAGGGCTCTACCACTGAGCCACGCCCCCAGCCCCTCACTGGGGGATTCTAGGCAGGGGGCTCTACCACTGAGTCACACCCCCAGTCCTTCTCCAGGGATTCTAAAGGGCACACTCTGAATGTAGTGTGGAAGACACAGGTTCAATACACAGGCCTAGAGAGAAACAGCCACCAACATCCTGGTCCCAGTGCAATCAGGGCACCATCACCTGCAAGGCCCACCCCTCGCTCACTCCAGCCCCACACTCCACAAAGTCTCCACCGTTCACACCCCCACACAGGCATCCAACTAGTTTATGTGCGCACATGTTCAGCACCTCCACTCGGGAGCAAGTCTCTTCACCGAGTGTTCACAGACACTAGAGAAGCTCAGAAAAACAAACACCCCACACAACAGTCTTTCCCAGGAAGAACGTAAGAATGCCTCGCCCTTGAGGAATCCATGGGCCTCAGAGAGCCAGACGGTAAATCGATAACTCAGATACCATATGAAAGGGGCCCTAACGAGCACGTTGCAAAGGACTCTGGGAATGCACTGGAAAGAAAGGTTGGCTCCTTCTTTAAATTTCCAGCCACACATTTTGATTAGTAAAAGAAATCCTCTTTTTAGATCCCTCAACCTTGATTCGACATTTTTCCAGCAGCCCAGAATAAAGGAGATTGCTGCCCATGTGAAATCACCCCTGGGAGGAAAAGGAATGTGTCTCGTTTAGAGTAATCACTACGCTCGAGTACCGTTATGGATGGCATGGGGTCTGAATAACACAGCTGGCCTGGAGACGGCTCGGTGGCTGATGTCACTTCCTGGAGCCCATGTGTGCTGGAAGGAGAGAAGCAGTTCCTAAAGCTGCCCTCTGACGTCTCCACAAACGCCGTGGCAGGTGCTCACAGACACACACTCACCCACACGG